ATCGCTTTCAGTTCCGTCACTAACATTAAGTAATTTTTAGGTGATCCATGGTTTATTGATTTTTTCGCTCCATGGTGTCCACCTTGTCGTAGTTTAATGCCGGAATTACGAAGAGCAAGTTTACATTTTCAACCAGCTCAAATTCAATTTGGTACGATCGATTGTACAATGTACAGCGATTTGTGTGCAAAAGAAGGAATCAGATCTTATCCCACCACTATGATTTATAATAACAGCAAAACTCTTCATTATCACGGTTCTCCAAGCGAACATGGAATCGTTGAGTTTATAGAAAGCGTCATCGATGACGGTGTAATACATTTAGATGGTGATACGTTTTTGAAAGTTCTTAGAAAAGTTCCTACTGAGTTATGGATTGTTGATTTTGTGGCACCTTGGTGTGGACCTTGCCAAAAGTTAACTAATGAATGGAGAAAATTAGCTAAAGAGTTATCAGCTTTTTCTGAAATTAAAGTTGGATCAGTTGATTGTGTAGCTCATAATGATCTTTGTTCAGCTCAACAAATTCGGAGTTATCCTTCAATAAGATTGTATCCTTTTGGAAGTAAAGGATTAGAAACAGTGGCGTAAGTTAACAATAAAAAACTTGTAATAATAAATTGGGATAAACGTTTTAGAATGTACAATGGACATCGCGATGTAATGTCAATGAAACGTTGGGTAATAAGTTTTATGCCATCTTTAGTCGAATCATTTACATCTGAAGAGTTTCAACAACAAGTGCTTACAAAAAAATACGTTTTACCGTGGTTGATTGATTTTTATGCTTCCTGGTGTTCGCATTGTATTAATTTTGAGCCTAATTTTAATATAGTAGCAAGAGTAAGATTAAAGTTCAAGTTTTTCGTTTTTTTTTGTAATATTTTTTTTAGAAACTACAAGGAAAGGTGAGATGTGGTAAAATTGATTGTGACCCAGAAAATCATTTCTGTCGCAAACAAAAAATCTCGAGTTATCCTACCATTATGTTATATTTGTCTCCTAACCAAAGATTTGAAATAGATAGCCAAGTTCCTAAAGAGATTATATCTGAAGTATTTAAAATTATGGATCAACAAGGATTCAAAATGCGTGATGAGTTATAATCGTTCTATATTTTTTACAACAATATGTACAACTACGTAATACATTTATCAACTTAAACAAAAAATAAAGCTTTTTTATGGTAACCACAACCATGTTTCTTTTTTTACATTCTAACTTTGTACCATTTTTTAATGTATATTTGAAACTTCAATTCGTCCTTGATTAAAGTTCAACTTAAACATATCAAATAGTCGCCCAAAAACTCTACTGACGCGAAAATCTTGTAATTTTCGATTGATAACGGACGTCAAAATATTAGAAACTTTCGGTTCTATTTCCGGCCATAAAGTATCCAAAGCTGTTGGCGCCATTCTCGTGATTGCTTTATTAAAAGTATCTTCGAGATCTTGTTTATCCATTAAACCATAAAAATGATTCTAAAAAATATTTTAATAATCAAAACAATCTAACATTAATTTTAAAATTACCTTTATTTTTTTTAATTTCGGATGAAGATACATCGAAGCAACATAAAATGGTGGATAAGACATTGGGTCCACTCTTATATCCGATAAAGTTTCTATCGATAATTGATAAAGTTTAATCCTAGAAAAAAAAAATGTTAAAAGCATAACATTATTTTTTGAATGTTTGATACCAAAAAGGACCTTTTCCAAAAATCGTAAAAGATTGCCCCACATTTATTGTGATATCATAAAACCCATCAATATCTAAGTTGGGAAAAGTGAGGTTGAGAACCAATTTTTTTGTTGGCATATCATAATTGAGGTCGTCCAAGCGGAACTTTGAAAGATGACGAACTCTAACATCTTCTACGTAACCCTGCAAACTAAACATTAAATAGTAACATATTCTGTTTGTGGTTTTTCCTGGACTCAATTTATCATTAAAAACTTTTTAAGTAACGCACGTTTATTTTTTTTTAAACCGAGTCATCCTATAATTAAACATAATTTATATGTTATTCCAGACTTGTTTACCAAGGAGTTAAAACACGTATTAAATAATCCTTTCCAACTCAACGATTTCGCAAAAAAAGTTCCTTTCACGTGCAAAAACACAATATTTTTACCGAATCTCGACCTAAATTTACCTGATTCGATATTATGCTTCAATCGATATTGTTACACAATCCTTGATTTCTATTGAATGAAAATCATTCTTAATTCCTCCCGTTTATATTTTGAAATAATCAGAAAAAAGTGGCTTTAATTGTACACTCAAAGCACGACTTAACGTATAACACTTACGACAATTCTTTATGCGTGATGTTAATGTCAATCTTGCGAATGGTGAGCGGATCAAGAATTGGTAACCCCAACTCCGGAATACCGGTAACCATGTATTTCCGGAATTCTTCTAGTAATTTTCGTATCCTGTCTGTGACGGTCATTGCGCCATTTACGACTGTTGTTAATGTTGTATCGAATACGTTTAAACCTGTACGAACAACACCTAAGAAAAAGTTTTGTTACAATCTGAATATTTTAATTCAAATTAGATTTATATGCGATTTTAATGCTTCAAGAAAAATATTCTTAAAGATAACAGAGAAAAACTACAATTTAAAAAAATCCGTTTTGTTGGGGTTGAGTTTAAAAATTAATATCTACTTTATATTTAGAATCGGAGAAACGAAACTTTGTGTCATTATTAAGAATTGAATAGCGATTTTAATGCTTCAAGCCATTTTTTGATATCTCAATTAGTTTAGGAGAAAAATATTCATAAAGATAACATTGAAAAACTAGATTTAAAAAAAATCCGTTTTGTTGGGGTTGAGTTCAAAAATTAATATCTCCTTTATATTTAGAATCGAAGAAACGAAACTTTGTGGTTTAATTTTGAATTGAATGACGATTTTAATGCTTTAAACCATTTTTTGATATCTCAATTAGTTTAAGAGAAAAAAATTCTTAAAGATAACGTTAAAAATTCATCTTTAAAAAAACCGTTTTTTAGGGATATGTTCAAAAATTAATATCTATTTTATGTCTAGAATCGAAAAATCGAAATTTTGTGTCATTATTAAGAATTGAATAGCGATTTTAATACTTCAAGCCATTTTTTGATATCTCAATTAGTTTAGGAGAAAAATATTCTTAAAGATAACATTGAAAAACTACAATTTAAAAAAATCAATTTTGTTGGGGTTGAGTTCAAAAATTAATATCTCCTTTATATTTAGAATCGAAGAAACGAAACTTTGTGGTTTAATTTAGAATTGAATGACGATTTTAATGCTTTAAACCATTTTTTGATATCTCAATTAGTTTAAGAGAAAAAAATTCTCAAAGATAACATTGAAAAATTACAATTTTAAGGTTGTGATGCTAATCTTTTGGTAATTATAATTAGAAGAAAAGCTAAAAAATGCGATGGGACGATTATTTAAGTAGGAAAGGATGGTTACATACTTTTATGAAGAGGTACAATCTCGGTTACATTAAAGAGCTTCTGCAGAATTGTAATTTGATTAACAAAATAATTTCAGTTAAAGGAGAAAAATTTTAATCACAAATACATGAATGGCTTTCAAAAGTTATCATTGGAAAATTGAAAAGTTTAAGTTATTAAAATGTAAAGTCATTAATTTTACTTATAAGATTTCCACGGAAACGGAAGTTATAATTATAATTTTATTATATATATTATACTTTTTTTACCTATAGTTGATGAAGTAACCCTTCTTATGAGATTCATTAAAAGCGGTGCTGATCCGAATAAACCAGGTTTTTCATCGCACAGAACCGTCATGAACAAAAAAGCCATGATTATCACTTTCATCGTTTCGAATCGAAAATAACCAACGAATGAAAAAAAAACTTAATTTAAAAACACAAAATTAATCTACATTTTACCACGCAACTATTCACTTTGAATACAAAATATAAACACCAAAGGAATTAACGGCATGAAATGCACACTCTACTTTTATAAGAGATTTTCAGATAGAAAATCCAAGGTTGACGTCCGATCGGTAAAAGTAGAAAATGCAAAAGATTGCGGCTGGTTATGATTCTGGTTGGTAACATTTTTCTTGCATTTCAAATATGTGTTTTAAACGTTGCGTCTTTTGGATAACTGATTACTTTTACTCTCTTCGCTGAAGCAACAAACAATTTCGTTTTCACTTATGGTATGCACACCTTACTTTTTAGAGTCAACCGCATTACGACAAGAACCTCTATATCTAGGCACGATTTCACTTACCTACATCGTCAATAAATTGAGGACTAAGAAAACTTTACTTACTTAAAGATTCATCAGTAATGTTGTTAATTGTATCATTAAAAAAGGAGCTGTCGTTAATTTCTTGGTTTAATGATCCATGAAAAACTAATAAAAATAAAAAATATGAGAATAAAATCGGTTTTTTTGTTGTCATTGTTATAAAAAAAGGTCAAGATGTGTGGTGTCGTCTGGTTGTACAATACTAACATTAAAAATCGGATTACATGCATGAAATTACAGGTGTAGAATCGAATCAAGGTCTATAATTAAATGCTAATTGTTGGGGAATTGACGTGTGGATCTAATTTTATAAAATAATTTAATATAAAACTTATAAAATCATTTTTATTTCAAAATATGTACCTATACATAAAATTAAATAGAAGCTAAATATTAAATTAATAAAAAATAGAACACATTATCGACAACATTTTCTTCTTCCATTCACTCTAACCTTGATCTTGATATAAATAAAAATTTAAATAAAGTATTAAGTTTTTTTGCTATTTATAATAATATCTTTAAAATCTTGTTGTAACTTTATAACCTACAAAAAAATAATAATAATTTTTTGTTTATTTATTTAATTTATCTTACTTCATTATTTTTTATTCTATTACACTTGAACACATCTAAATATTTCAACAATGGTAATGATAATGCAGCTTCCTTACAACTTTTAATGGTTATATTAACATCCCTAAAATCCAATTCTTTAATTTGGGTACAAGAATGAAGAATGGGCATTAATTTATCATCCGTTATTTTTTTCCAACCATATAAAACTAACCTAAAAAAATCATTTTAAATAACAATTAAAATTATTCTTTATTTTTACTTTTCTAAACGTGGGCAACCAGCTGCTATATGCTCAAGTGCATCTTCTGGATCACTATGATGTAATCCAGCTGACATCTCTAATGATTTTAATTTAAAACATCTCCCCAACGATCGAAAACCTTTTGGTCTCACAGCGGTTCTTTCTGCCAAGTGAAGATTTTCAAGGTTTATGTTATATTTTGCCAGACTTTCGCAAACCTCTGACGCCATTACATGAGAATTACTAGCTAAAAATATGATTCACTATTACAAAATCGTTGTGATTAAACGCTTTTAACATACATAAATACAATTTTTTTAAACTAGAATTTCTTTCTAAACAGTCAATAACCGCTTGATTTGAAATAAAACATTGTACCAACTCTATATGGCTTAAATTGGTTAGATTTGTTAAAAATTGGAAGGAACCTTTACATTGGAAGAATGTTACATCTACAAAAAAGAAGATCTCCATTTAATTTACTTATTAAAAAAAAATATATATAACAAAAACCTTTTAGATTTGTACAATTTCCTATTAATTCCAAAATATTCTCATTCCTACAATTTTCAAAATGTATAGAAACAAAATGCTCATTAAATTTAGTCAGAACCTCTTTAACATATTCATTAAACAACTCTTCATCTTCTTCCTGTAGATCGGAATCGTTATAACAAAACCTATATTGTACTTCAAAGTGTTTAGGATTGTTGAGCTTTGTTAAATAATTCATCAGTAAGTTCTTATCCATGTTATACTAAACATAAAAACAACAACTAAAAATTAGCACAAAGAAATTCATCATTAACAAACCTTAAACTTCACTTTTTCATATAACACATTTTCATTTGAAGCCTTATTTAGGGCTGCACAGATCGTTGAACACGAATAGACTGATTTAAAGTCCAAATATTTGAAGATATTCACCAAGACGTTATGCTGTGTAAACAAAAAAATAAATCTAACGTACTCTATACATCTTAAAACTTACAGGTAAAACCGAAAAATGATCTTCAACAGCCTCTGTATGATCCAATTTAATTTTTTTCTTCGGTGAACTCATTTCTGTGTTGAGGTTAAAAACTAAACATTTAAACGGAAGAATCTTACTAATTATTGTACAGTACCTATAATAACTTCGTTATTAACGTATATCTAATAAATTTTAATCTTGTAACCGTTTTAAAACGAATTTATTCAATTTTACGTTTTACTGTGTTTGTCTATTAGGATATTTGACAATTCTCCATTTTTTCATTTTTTGACAGTTTAATTTGACGTCATTAAATCATTATACCTAAAGTTTAATTTTACTAATAAAAATTAAAATTAAATAATAAAAAAATTAAATTATATATTAAATAATAAAGAGATTTAAAGTGAATTAAATAATAAAGAGATTTAAAGTGAATTAAATAAATTTTATTTTATTTGATACAAAAAACTTGTGTTATTTCTATATTAGGTAATTTTAATTAGGACATTTGATTTAAAATAAGTTATGAAAGTAAAATTGGAAATTAAATCTGGAAATTGGAAATTACCTAGGGTGTTTAATGGAATAGACTTATAATGGAATTAAAAATTAGTTTCTATGGATTACTGGAAATGTTTAAATTTGGATAAAATATTTTAGTGGCATAACCTCACTTTTAAAAAGTTTTCATAAATAATAACTCTTAATTTTAGAAGCAGCTCAACTAAAGCGAGTAAAGGGAGTAATGGAATAGAGTTATAATGGAATTAAGAAAAAGTTTCTATGGCTTACTAAAAATGTTTAAATTTGGATAAAATATTTTAGTGGCATAACCTCACTTTTAAAAAGTTTTCATAAATAACTCTTAATTTTAGAAGCAGCTCAACTAAAGCGAGTAAAGGGAGTAATGGAATAGAGTTATAATGGAATTAAGAAAGAGTTTCTATGGCTTACTGAAAATGTTTAAATTTGGATAAAATATTTTAGTGACATAACCTCACTTTTAAAAAGTTTTCATAAATAACTCTTAATTTTAGAAGCAGCTCAAGTAAATGGAGTAATGGAATTAAAAAAGAGCTACCTGGCTCATTTGAAATATATTTGATGTCTCTGTAGCTAGAGCATGATACGAATGAAGAGTTTGATTCCAAAACCCAATTAGATAACTCAATAACAACAACTCTTAATTTTAAAGATAAATATTTATTTATTAAAGCTATATTATTAGTTTTTAATTAAATTTGTTCTTTGGTTTAATACAAATAATTTTTTAATAATTATTTTTGGTGTTACTAAGTTGTGTAACAGGTCTTGGTGGTAAAGGGGGTCTTGGTGGGACTAAAGGAAGTGGAGGAGGTTGATCTGGAATTTCCACATTTTGTAGCTCCAACAATTGTAGGGCAATATCCATATTGGTGAGTTCTTCGAGTTCTTTTTTATAACTATCAGAAAAATCATTTTTACCTGCAAAAATACATTTTATTAATTTCTAAATAAAAGAAGGTAATAAAAATTGTGGTACCCAATAAAATATGTAATCCATCCATCCAATATTGAGCCATCTTTTCATCTTTAGCCAAAAAATGAATGTATGTATCACCTTCAAATTGCAAAGCAAATAAACAAGTTGAGTTTTTAACACTTAAAAAAAAATATTTAATTATTTTGTTATTGTAAATTATAAGTTAGTTAATATACATATTTTCTTTGTAGTATGGGCAACTTATTCCAATTATAAGATGTCTAATTGCTGAAATGTTGTAAACAATAGGCTGAAAAGCTTTGCGCACATTGTTGTTACAATCATAATAAAGGAGTTGTTTACAATTTTGAGAAAGTTCTACCGAAAAATATTGTTGTTTCTTCTAAATAATAAAATGAAGTGTTAATATTGGTATTGATAAATAAAGAAAAGCTTACTTTAACTTCAGGTAATTTAGGAAAATCTTGCCCAGCTTTTAAAACGCTTAATCTTTGTTGTCGAACTAAATCTTCATTATCAGTACTAAAATGTTTTTTAAGAAGTTGTACACAAGGATTTTTATTTAAATTATTTTTCCAATTAATTTCAGCTTCTTTCTATAACTCAAAAATAAATAACATTAATAAAATAAGTTAATAAAATTGATTTTACCTCTAACGTGTTACAAACAACATTATAACTTAAAGTTTTCATTTGCTTTAATAGCTCTGCTAACGTTAACGGTTTCCATTCGAGAGTTCTTCGCACTTGTAACTCTAAAATATTTAAAACCTTATCAAAATCATCGGCTACGTGAGCTTGCATTTCTCTTCGCGTTTTTGATAACAACCACATCGTCCTGCAGAATAATTCCAAGAAAAAACCTTGTTTTAAACTTGTATTGAAAACTAATGGTTGAAAATCTTCACGTTTTTTATCAATTTTTGAACCAATTCGTAAAATACTCGCCAACATTTTTACTATTTTATCGGCCGAAATCGTTATTTTTGATTGATTTGCTAATTCTTCTAATTTAGATTGGTTGAAGTTCATTTCGTACATTCCAGCATAATAAACTGTTTTTGGGAAAAATAATAATTTAATTATTAATTAATTTTAACTTATATTACCCAAACATTCCTCAGTTAATTTACACACTCCTTCATCTACCTTTGGAAATGATCTAAGGGTTGATATGCTATCTCTTGAAGAAACACTTAAAAAACTATATCTGTATGAACTAAAAAGAAATGTGTTATTTTAATTCGTTTGGGAGGAAATTTTAAAATATACTCTTCAGAGGAACTTATAACTGTATCATTTGAACCCCATTTTCCTTTATAATTCAATGGATTATCTTCTTGGAACTCGAGGATATCACTTAGACGATTCTCGGAATTTTCATTGCATTCGAATTGTTTTAAAATTTCTGGATCTGCTGATGTTACGAGTTTATCCATTAATCGACTTAAATAAAAAGATTATTGATTTGATCAAAAATGTATTTTTATTTACCTTAAAATGTGACATTGATAAACATAAACTTCTTTACCAATAGCATCATTACATTTCTTTAAATCTTGAATTAAATGTTCAAACAAAACATTTCTAAATTCGGCGGAATCCATTTCTTTTAACATTTTCCATTTACCCTCATCCTTAACAACCGTTACGATTGAATTTAAAAGTTTTAACGGTTTTAATTGGAATTTCATTGATCTTAAACGACACATTGATATCAATTGTGTTATTGGAATTAAAGCTATCTAAAAAAAAGAAACCGCAAATGACTTTAAAAATTAATATGATTCAATTTTAATCATTTAAAACATCCGGTGTACTTACTTCTTCTTTGATATGGACAGAACATTCCCTAATAACCATTAATTGACACAAAATAGACATGATACATTCTAAAATATGTGGTCTTTCTCTTTTCAATTTATAGTCTAGAATCATTTCGTCAACTTTACAATTTTTTACTTCATCTATCATTTTTTCCACAATTGGCATGGGAAGTTCGTCAAGAAAGCCGTATTTTAAAATTTGTAAAATCGTTTGATAACATACTTTTAAATTTTCTTTATTGATTACTTCATCTTCAAGGATGTAATTGAGCAGATAAGTTTGATTTTGATATTGGACTAGATATTTTAGAAATAATTTATCGCTATTTTCTTTTGCTAAATCAGCGAAAGAAATGTTATAATTCCTAAATATAAAACTAAGCTTAACCGGAATCGATGTAACCAATTTTAATTCATCCCCATTTTGAACTGTTGAAAAATCTTCTATGTAATAATATTCTTCGATGTTCTTTGTTGGTTTATTTTTATTTTTTTCTGTGATTTCTTTTCGTTTTAATCCCCAAGAATCGCTTCCACTCTAAAAATAAATATATTATTACATAAAAAAAATATTTTTTTGTACTCACAATGTTTTGACTTTCACAAATACCACAAATATTTTCAGCTAGAGATATTTTACTGTTTAAATTATAAAAAAAACTTTCTGAATTATAATGAATTGCCACTTTTATTATTCCAGCCATTATCGATTGTATTTAATATAATACTGATGTGACCTACTAAAATTCGTAACGTTTTTATATAAAAGGTTTTATAGTTAGTCGACACGTTTGATAAGCGTTATCAACAACTCTGACACATACCTTGTGTGTTTATTTACGTAATGTATCCATATTTGCAGCAGGGTACGACACACACACAGACAAAAGGAAGTTTATTCATATATGATTAAAATTAATTCATTAAATATTTGCATTGATTACATTTTATATTTTAACGCGTATAAAATTCAAATTTAAACGAATAAACAGTTTTTTAGCAAAAAGGTTTGTGTTAAAAGTCTCACTAGATAGAAAATAAAAGTGTATAAAGAAAAGAATTAGCAGTATTTAGTCCTTTTCTGGCCGGATTTAATCCTTTTTAAGTGGTGTCTAGTCATCTGGCATTTTGTTCCGATAGTATCTAGTCTTCCATTAAAGTTATTTAATAGAACTGGCAGAAGCCAGCAGTACCTTATTCTCTATTAACCTCATCCAGTGGTAATTAACAGTTCAGTGAGGTATACTTAGTTTCCTATCAGCAGAATCTAGTCTTCTGTCGGCAGTATTTAATCTTCTATGAGCAATATCTAGTCTCCCATTAAAATTATTTAATAGAAGTCTTCTGCTAGCAGTACCTTGTACTTTATTAAGCTTATCCAGTGTTAATTAATAGTGTCTAGTCTTCTGCAAGCGATACCCAGTCTTTCAGTAACAGTGTCTAGTCTTCAGTGAGATGTACTTATTCTATCAGCAGCATTTTATCTTCTGTCGTCAGTATTTAGTCTTCTATGAGCAATATCTAGTTTACCATTAAAATTATTTAAAAGAAGTCTTCTGCTAGCAGTACCTTGTACTTTATTAAGCTTATCCAGTGTTAATTAATAGTGTCTAGTCTTCTGCAAGCGATACCCAGTCTTCCAGTAACAGTGTCTAGTCTTCAGTGAGGTGCACTTAGTCTTCTATCAGCAGTATTTTATCTTCTGTCGTCAGTATTTAATTTTCTATGAGCAATATCTAGTCTCCCATTAAAATTATTTAATAGAAGTCTTCTACTAGCAGTACCTTGTACTTTATTAACCTTATAAAGTGTTAATTAATAGTGTCTAGTCTTCTGCAAGCGATACCCAGTCTTCCAGTAACAGTGTCTAGTCTTCAGTGAGGTGCACTTAGTCTTCTATCAGCAGCATTTTATCTTCTGTCGTCAGTATTTAATTTTCTATGAGCAATATCTAGTCTCCCATTAAAATTATTTAATAGAAGTCTTCTGCTAGCAGTACCTTGTACTTTATTAACCTTATCCAGTGTTAATTAATAGTGTCTAGTCTTTAAGTCTTCCAGTAACAGTGTCTAGTCTTCAGTGAGGTGCACTTAGTCTTCTATCAGCAGTATTTTATCTTCTGTCGTCAGTATTTAGTCTTCTATGAGCAGTATCTAGTTTACCATTAAAATTATTTAATAGAAGTCTTCTGCCACCACCACTTTATCTTCTATTACCCATATCTAATGATATACTAACACTTCTTCAAGCATATGGTCATAAGAATTCTTTGTTAATGATCCTATCAGAGTCGTTGATACACCATCTGTCTCCTTATTACTTCTGGTTTCATTAGGAGTTCTCACTTCATCTGGTATTTTCCTTCTATTTTCTCTTTATTTTGTATTTGCCTAGTTTTTGTGTTTTTCTTTTTGTATTTTACTAGTTCCATTCTTTCTATTATTTGTATAATCTATTTAGTTTTATATTCTTGTTATTGGCATATTTTCTTCTTTCATTTTTATTTCTCAATTATCAACTTGGTTTTGGTATTTTTCATCCTCGCATCATTTTGGCTATTTTCCTTCTAACTCTTAACACTCTCAGAGTAAGCAACTACATCACTGTCTTCAGATTTTTCGATTTTGACACTCTCTATTTCCTCATTCTGGATTCTTCATCTAGTATTTTTTTGCAACTACTACATTCTGGTTTATTTTTAATTTCTTTCTTTATCTGTTTGGTATCTTTCTAGTTCTTGGTTTGTGTCTACGTTTTTAGCTTTTTTTTTGATACATTTCTTTCGGGCATTATTTTCGCCACTTTTTTGCTATTTTTGACACTCTCACTGCTAATCCAACCTTTTTTAACATTAATTCTGGAAATTAAAACTCAACATTTCTGACCCCTATAAACAAATGGGTGAATATATTTTCAAGTTTTAAAAAACACTTTGTAGCAAAAGTTATGCAACCAACTCAATAAATGCGACCTCCTTTCAGTAACTTTCGAAAAATCACTTCAAGTTCAACTTCCTCCCGTTACAGTCTTAAAATAGCACTTTGTTGGTGAAATAAAAATTATCGTTGAATTAAAAAAGATGGTTATAAAATTATATTCGGTGTCTGATGGTCCACCTTCTTTGGCGGTTCGGCAATGTTTGAAAGCAATTAATTTGGATTATACGTTAATTAACGTTGATTTTGGTGCTGGAGATCATATGACAGAGGAATATGCTAAAGTAGGTCTATTAATTAATTAATTAACAAATTAAGAAGGAAACTTTTTTCATTTAGTTAAACCCACAAAAAGAAATTCCAGTTCTTGACGATGATGGGTTTTTATTAAGTGAAAGGTAAGGACGTTTCAATGTTAATTGAGTCTTATTTTTTGATTATAATTTTTAATTTTTTGTAGCAATGCAATTTTACAATATTTAGTTGAAAAATATTATGACGGAAATGATTTGTATCCAAAAGATCCTAAATCAAGAGCGATTGTAAATCATCGATTATGCTTCAACATGGCGTTTTATTACAGTTCTATTTCAGCTTATGTTGTATGTAAATCAACTAATTTCCTTTTTATAATTTACCTTAAATAACTACTTTTTAGATGGCCCCAATATTTTTTGATTATCAACGAACCCCTTTGAGTTTAAAAAAGCTTCATATCGCCCTGGATGTTTTTAACACTTATTTGAAAACTCTCGGCGCAAAATATTCCGCCAGCGGTTGTTTTAATCATATCTTTTTTAATTTTTATTTTCATTAATTTTTTTAGATAACCTTACTATCGCTGACTTTCCGCTTTGTACAGCTACGATGTGCTTGGAGGCGATTAATTTTGATTTTTCGAAATATTCGTACGTTTCGAAATGGTACGAGACTTTTAAGCGAGAAAATCCCGACTTGTGGAAAATTGCCGAAGAGGGAATGAAGGAAATTGCCGAATTTGAAAAGAATCCACCTGATTTGAGTCATATGGATCATCCTATTCACCCAATAAGGAAGGTTAAATAAGATTTTAATGCAAAATTATGTCATAAAAAAGTGTATTTCTGTTTTATATAAAATTATTTAATAGAAGTCTTCTGCCAGCAGTACCTTATACTTTATTAACCTCATCCAGTGTTAATTGACAGTATCTAGTCTTCTGCAAGCGATATCCTGCCTTCCCTTAATGGCGTCTAGTCTTCTGCCGGCAGTACTTAGTTTTCTCTCCGCAGTATCTAGTCTTTTGTGAGGTGTACTTAGTGTATCAAGTCTTCTGCCAGCAAGGTTTAGTCTTCTATGAACAGTACCATTAAAATTATTTAATAGAATTCTTCTGCCAACAATACCTTCTCTTCTATTAACCCAATAAGGAAAGTTAAATAAGATTTTAACGCAAAATTATGTCATAAAAAAGTGTATTTCTGTTTTATACAAAAATAAATTAAATAAAAGTCTTCTGCTAGCAGTATCTTGTGCAGTACAGTGTCTAGTCTTCTGCAAGAGATATCCAGTCTTACAGTAACGTAATGTCTAGTCTTCAGTGAGGTGTATTTAGTCTTCTAGTAGCAGTATGTAATCTTCTGTCATCAGTATTTAGTCTTCTATGAATAGTATTTAGTCTTCCATTAAAATTATTTTATAGAAGTCTTCTGCCAGAAGTACCTTGTACTTTATTAACCTCATCCAGTGTTAATTCACAGTATCTAGTCTTCTGCAAGCGGTATCCTGCCTTCCATTAATGTCGTCAAGTCTTCTGCCAGCAATGTTTAGTCTTCCATAAACAGTACCATTAAAATTATTTAATAGAATTCTTCTGCCAACAGTACCTTCTCATCTATTAACCCAATAAAGAAAGTTAAATAAGATTTGAACGCAAAATTATGTCATAAAAAAGTATATTTCTATTTTATACAAAAATAAATTAAAAAAAAACATAAAAATCGTTAAAACGTCCTAAACCTAATAATGACTACAAATCCATTCCAGTTTTTTTTTTTAAATCCACTCAATCATCTTGAAAATCAATAATAATTATTTCCAATGACTTTTATATTGATTTAAAATAAAATCCAAAGTCGATAATGGTTTTAAATTTCCACCTCCTACGACAAAACAAAACAAAATTACCTTTAAAAGGCTTAATCAACAAAAAAATGCAAACCTAAAAATGTTCAAGTCAAAGTCTTGAGTCTTTTTGTTGTTTAAGTCAAATTTTAACAGGTCCGTTCGGTCTTAATTCGTAAGTTATCGATTTAACAACGTCAATATTCGGCTTTTTCGATTTCAACGGCGTTTTTTTCACTTTTCCTGGAGATTCCATGATAAATTCCGAACTCGTTAAAGGGGTTGGAAGGAGCGGTTTCGAAAATGATCTTGGATCGTGAGGTTGTAACATTTCCAAACTGTCGGTATCCGGTTGGAAATTTTGATTTGGCAATTGATTTTGATGTTGATTTGAGTATTGAGGCGTTAAATCTTCGTAACCCATCATAGGCATCGAATTAAATTGGTTTAAAAATGGTTGATTCGAAAACGATTGGAAATGATTGGAGAGAGGTGGTGGTGCGTTAAAATTTGGGGGATGAAAATTTAAAAATTCCGTTTGAGGGTTATAAATATTCATGGGATGAATTGAAAATGTTGATGGTCTCTTCATCAAACCCGTATCTTTAAAGTATTTTAAATAATTTACGCTGGGTGATTTATGTTCCAATGGCAGCTGAGCTATGTTATTAACACCACGATTTTTTTCGAAATTCTCAAATGATGGCGATGAATTTGGCTTTAAATTTGTACCCGAAGATGAAGCTAAAAGATTAGCTAAAACTTCGCGGTAATTAGGAGTTTGGGGATCTAATGGTTTAAAATCGGGGATGTTTTGACTTTCTTGACCTTCCAAATTGTGATCGAATCCACTTGATGATGGCATTTTCTTTAAAATTATTATTCCTTCTGGTAATTGGTTTAAAAACGAATTCTTATCTGTTAATTTAAAGTCAATATATAGATTTTAAGTCGGAGTCTTAAACGTCAAATTTGAAATACTATTTCTGAGTTGAAAAACATTTAAATCTTTAATAACAATGTGTTTGAAAGGAAAATGTGTTAGATGTAAGTTGTGTTGCCTAAGTGTATGTCAATAAGGAAATAAAGCGATTTTGATTTTCAAATATCTTTAGTACTTCTACGATTTTTAAAATATAATTATTTTAATTTCAATATCAATGTATTTTCGCTTGGGTGACTCGAATAATCTATAGAATCATGGCATTTTCTTTAAAATTATTATTCCCTCTGCTAATTGGGTGAAAAACGAATTTTTATCTATTAAATTGAAGTCAATATGTAGATTTTAAGTCAGAGTCTTAAACGTCAAATTTGAAATGTTGGAAAACATTTAAATCATTAAATCTTTAATAAGAATGTATTTGAAAGGAAAATGTGTTAGATGTAAGTTGTGTTGCCTAAATACATGTCAATATGGAAATAAAGAGATTTTGATTTTCAAATATCTTTAGTACTTCTACAATTTTTAAAATATAATTATTTTAATTTCAATATCAATGTATTTTCGCTTGGGTGACTCGAATAATCTATAGAATCATGGCATTTTCTTTAAAATTATTATTCCCTCTGGTAATTGGNAGTGTATGTCAATAAGGAAATAAAGCGATTTTGATTTTCAAATATCTTTAGTACTTCTACGATTTTTAAAATATAATTATTTTAATTTCAATATCAATGTATTTTCGCTTGGGTGACTCGAATAATCTATAGAATTATGGCATTTTCTTTAAAATTATTATTCCCTCTGGTAATTGGGTTAAAAACGAATTTTTATCTGTTAATTTGAAGTCAATATATAGATTTTAAGTCGGAGTCTTAAACATCAAATTTGAAATACTATTTCTGCGTTGGAAAACATTTAAATTATTAAATCTTTAATAAGAATATGTTTGAAAGGAAAATGTGTTAGATGTAAGTTGTGTTGCCTAAGTGTATGTCAATAAGGAAATAAAGCGATTTTGATTTTCAAATATCTTAGTACTTCTACGATTTTTAAAATATAATTATTTTAATTTCAATATCAATATATTTACGCTTGGGTGACTCGAATAATCTATAGAATCATGGTATTTTCTTTAAAATTATTATTTTCTCTGGTAATTGGGTTAAAAACGAATTTTTATCTATTAAATTGAAGTCAATATGTAGATTTTAAGTCAGAGTCTTAAACATCAAATTTGAAATACTATTTCTGCGTTGGAAAACATTTAAATCACTAAATCTTTAATAAAAATGTGTTTGAAAGGAAAAGGTGTTAGATGTAAGTTGTGTTGCCTAAGTGTATGTTAATAAGGAAATAAAGCGATTTTGATTTTTAATATCTTGACTATTTTAACAATTTTGAACTGAAATAAACGTCAAATTTGAAACATTATTTCTACGTTGGAAAACATTTAAATCATTAAATCTTTAATAAGAATGTATTTGAAAGGAAAATGTGTTAGATGTAAGTTGTGTTGCCTAAATACATGTCAATATGGAAATAAAGAGATTTTGATTTTCAAATATCTTTAGTACTTCTACAATTTTTAAAATATAATTATTTTAATTTCAATATCAATGTATTTTCGCTTGGGTGACTCGAATAATCTATAGAATCATGGCATTTTCTTTAAAATTATTATTCCCTCTGGTAATTGGCTTAAAAACGAAGTTTTATCTGTTAATTTGAAGTCAATATGTAGATTTTAAGTCGGAGTCTTAAACGTCAAATTTGAAATACTATTTCTGCATTGGAAAACATTTAAATCATTAAATCTTTAATAAGAATGTGTTTGAAACGAAAATGTGTTAGATGTAAATTGTGTTGCCTAAATGTGTGTTAATATGGAAATAAAGCGATTTTGATTTTTAATATCTTGACTATTTTAACAATTTTGAACTGAAATAAACGTCAAATTTGAAGTACTATTTCTACGTTGGAAAACATTTAAATCGTTAAATCTTTAATAAGAATCTGTTTGAAACGAAAATGTGTTAGATGTAAGTTGTGTTGCCTAAATTTGTGTCAATATGGAAAGAAAGCGATTTTGATTTTTAATATCTTGACTACTTTAACAATTTTGAACTGAAATAAACGTCAAATTTGAAACATTATTTTTACGTTGGAAAACATTTAAATCATTAAATCTTTAATAAGAATATGTTTGAAAGGAAAATGTGTTAGATGTAAGTTGTGTTGCCTAAGTGTATATCAATATGGAAATAAAGCGATTTTGATTTTTAATATCTTGACTATTTTAAAAATTTTGAACTGAAATAAACGTCAAATTTGAAACATTATTTCTACGTTGGAAAACATTTAAATCGTTAAATCTTTAATAAGAATCTATTTGAAACGAAAATGTGTTAGATGTAAGTTGTGTTGCCTAAGTGTATGTCAATATGGAAATAAAGCGATTTTGATTTTCAAATATTTTTAGTACTTCTACGATTTTTAAAATATAATTATTTTAATTTCAATATCAATATATTTACGCTTGAGTGACTCGAATAATCTACAGAATCATGGTATTTTCTTTAAAATTTTTATTCTCTTTGGTAATTGGCTTAAAAACGAATTTTTATCTGTTAATTTGAAGTCAATATGTAGATTTTAAGTCGGAGTCTTAAACGTCACATTTGAAATACTATTTCTGCATTGGAAAACATTTAAATCATTAAATCTTTAATAAGAATATGTTTGAAAGGAAAATGTGTTAGATGTAAGTTGTGTTGCCTAAGTGTATGTCAATAAAAACATTTAAATCATTAAATCTTTACTAAGAATATGTTTGAAAGGAAAATGTGTTAGATGTAAGTTGTGTTGCCTAAGTGTATGTCAATATGGAAATAAAGCGATTTTGATTTTTAATATCTTGACTATTTTAACAATTTTGAACTGAAATAAACGTCAAATTTGAAACATTATTTCTACGTTTGAAAACATTTAAATCATTAAATCTTTAATAAGAATGTGTTTGAAAGGAAAATGTGTTAGATGTAAGTTGTGTTGCCTAAGTGTAAGTCAATATGGAAAGAAAGCGATTT